GATTTTATGAACAAAAAGGGAGAAAATAAATCAATTTAAACCCTTGAAATTATGGAAAAAATTATAAAAACCTTGTGCATACTTATATATGCATATATGTGTTATTTTGAAGGTATTTATGCATATTTAAAAATATACGGTAAAATTAGGTATCAACACCTAGCATTGAATTAGGTAGGACACTCGTCCTACTTCATAGATAGAAAAAGAAAGAGTAAGTCCATTATTTGTGGTACCCTAAGAGACCTTTTTCCTTTCCTTGTATTGTTTTTATCATAGAAATAACCTGATTTCATCCTTGCCAACAGGAGAAGGGAATAGGCCTTGAAGGTAATGTCGGAGCCTCTGCCTAGCTCGCCTTCGTTATCGCAAGAATATAGCGATCAAAGAGCTATGGGTCAGCTGCTTCGCGTATTACACCGTATTACTCTAAGGGGGCATGCTGCAAGAGTGTAGGTGAGTCGTACTCAAAGGCGAAGGGCTCCAAAAGCGGATGCGATCAGCCTCAGAAGAGAGGGGCTCCAAAAGTGGATGTGATCGGCCTCAGAGAAAATCGAAATAAAAAATTATAGATGTCTTCTTTTTTACTGAGGGAGTAGGTATGGAGCACACTTACTATTTCTATGAGTTCCCTTTGGCAGGTCAATTAGGCAAAGGATCAAATTCTCACGATATCCGCACATAATCCTGGTTGGAAGACAGGCACCATCCTATGAGGCAGATTCGTTCCCCCAAAGTGGACGATTGCTCCTCTTTGACAATAAAAAAAAAAGGAAATGATGTGACATGAAATGAAAGGTATCACGAACTTAATTCGTACAAGTATCTTTTCCATTCAATCAGCTGGTAGGCAAAGCATTGTTACTCAAGTTCTACGAGGGCAAAGTGTATCGCGAACTTAATTTGTACACTAGAGAGGAGAGGAGAGAAAAAAGAAAAATGATGTAATTACATCTCCTAATTTAAGACACTAATAATAGATTGGATATGGAGAGAGGTGGCAGAGAACTGGAAAAGACGAGAGGAGAGAAAAAAAGAAAATGTGTAATTGCATCCCCTAATTTAAGACACTAATAATGAATTGTATATAAATTCTAACAAAAACATAATTAGGTCAGATAATATACAAATCTAGGATAATTTTGGTAAATCAATTTTAAATATTGTATAGAAATAAAAAAGTCCTATCAAATAATAATAACATGGGCTAACCATTTTTCATTCATATAATTTGAAAATAGTCATTATAATGAAGTTTCACAAATATCCTGAAGTTTCATAAGTGAAATTTGAAACTCCAGACTGTTTTTCAATTAAAGTTATTAAAATATGGCTATTTATGAATTCATATCCAATCGACTTATAACCAGTCCATACTTGATAGAGCTTTTAGTCAATCGCGATAAAACAATAATTGTTTAGAGTTTAACCATCATAAATAGTTTACAGAGGCTTTGATAGGAGAATGTAGAGGTCAACAATTAGGATAGAAGGTTAATAGGTATTCGGACGTATTTTCTTTTGTAGTATCAATATTATTCCGGCACTTTCTTTTACTTAGATTTCTATTACTATTAGTTATTTGATCTTTTGCTTCGGTTATCTTATTATATTGATGTTGTTAATGCTCTTTATTATTGCTTTGTTACTGTCTTTTTAATAATGTTGTGACTATTCTTTTACTGAATCGAGGATCTACCGGAACAATCTTTCTATCTTCACAAGGTAAGAATAAAGTCTGCGTACATACTACCTTTCCCAGACCCCACTTGTAGAATTACACTGAGTTTATTTTGTAAATGTTTACTGAATCTTCTATTGCAGTCATAAATTTGTAATCTATAAAAGATTATAAGCGACATGTTACAGCTGGTAAAGATACATTGATATGTTAAAGTTATATTCTTAGCTACTGTATACAAGTTATATTGTTTTAGTTCTCTTCTATTAAATTGTTCTTTATTTGAAAATAGAGGTGAATTCATAATTTAAACTCTATGAGTTCAACTTTTAAAGTTATTAGCTTGAACTCACTATATTTTTAAAGTTGTGGGTTCATCTTTACTATCTATTATAATTTTAATAATAATCTACACATAAATTTATACTTTGCGTCGAAAGTTATGGTTCAATTATGAACCCCTATCTATAGTGGTACATCCGCCCAAGTGGAAGCTACTCTGTGTAAAAAATTAATCAAAAAGATACTTAAAATGGAAGTTAAAATAGTTCGTAAAAATTAGAACTTTTCTAAGAAATTTTGTGGAAGTTGAAGCTTTTCTAAAGAGGTTAAACAATCTAATATGAAATCAAGTGAGTTCTAAATGTCTTCCTTTTAATTCTTTCGAATATTTTTATTGGTGTAATTATTACAATCTAAAACAAAAAATAAAATCATTAATACTTAGTGCTAGAGACTTAGGACTTGTTTGATCATAGATTTTGTCAAAATAAATTTGGGTTTTATTTGGCAAATACATGTTTGGCCATAGATTTCGCCTATATTTTGGCAAAATCTCAAATCCCAAATCACATACCTGGTTTTGGGCCAAAATATTTAGAAACACTAATAATATACATATTTTTCCAAAATAAATTTGAAAAATATGTTTTGAAAACGTATGTCCAAACACATTTTCATTTTTAAACCAAACTTCACCAAAATCAAATTTTTCAAAACAAATTTGAGAATCTATGGCCAAACGCTAGCTTACTCAATTCAATTGTTAGAAACTTGTTAACAGAATTTTTTTAATATTTAATTTTTTTTATTACGAACAAAACGTGGCAAGAACATGCATGATATATCTATACTATATTAAAAGCACGAAGGACTTTAGCAAAATATCGTTCGCCTTTTTATGTTGGATAAAATTGTAAAATTATATATTGTAAAGTGTACTTTATGTTGGATAAAATTGTAAATACAAATAAATATTTATATTTTTGAGAAAAGGTTGCCGTAAAATAAAAAGGAAACTCTTTCGCAATTAATATCCCTAATGACAGAACGTAAAAAACGGAATGTTAAAAAGGAAAAAGAATAAGACAATAAGTAGAAACTCATTATTTAATATACATATTAAAAGGTAAATCTGTATAGGTTAAAAAGGACGAATAAATATAGTAAGTAGGAAACTCGTTCTTTAATATTTCAAGAGTGTAAAAGAGAAAGTTGATTAATACCCAATTTTATTCTACATAAACACTCTCTTTTAGTTTTCTGGTTGGACACCGCTTTCATCAACCTATGTTGTTTTATACTTCTTAAATTAGAATTTTGAAACTAAAGTCATTTAGAAAAAGGAGGAACCGAACTCTTCTATAACAGAAGCCAATATTTCATATTTTTAATCAAAAATTCTTGATAGTGTTGAGGTCTGCGAAGTAAAATTGCTTTTGTTTTGAGGTAAACTTTCTGACTTTTAGATTGTTCTTGAAGACTTGTAATAATATACGTTCTTCAGTTTTATAGTAAAAAAAGCTCTTGTTTTGTACATAGCTATCAATTCAAGCATGTAATTTAAAAGTTAAAATATTTATTTTTCGTGAACATGTTATTGCAGTTTTATGAAGAACTTATATATAAAAAGAAGTAACTACATGAAGTTAGAAACCAATAATGAGCCTTAAATATTCTAGAATTGCGCAATCAAACTTCATACAGAAAAATACAACAAATTAGCATGTTTATTTTCCGTGAACACATAATTTGTTATTTTATGAAAAATAGAAAGCAATTACACGAAATTAGAAATAATGGACCTTAAATATTTAAAAATAGAACAATTAAACTTCTTAGAGAAATATATAATAAATTTAGTACAGTTGATAGTGTGTGTGGCTCAAGGGTAAGAAAAAGATGTGATTGGCCTATATTACTGGTAGATGCTAGGAATATGAATGCCACAAAATATTTACAATCTTAGAATATAAATTCAATAATACTATATAAGGATCTAAAATACATCTGCACCTTAATAAAGTCATTGGGCTTGTTTGGCCAAACTCTCAAAATTTATTTATGTTTTTTGAGTTGTTTTACAGTTCTTATAGTATTTCTATTAATTAAAGAAATAGAAGAATTTATATTTTCCTCTCGATGAAAAATAGATTTTTGTCAGTTAGTTGACCTTGATTGTGTTTATAGAATGAACTTAAAAACATATACCTTTAAAAAAAATCAGAAAAAACTCTTAAATCTTCAAGAGTTTATGTGTTCGTACTAAAACTAAAAAAAAAAGCATGAAAACTTGCGAAATACTAATAAAATTATAAAGATGGAATAAACTTTTAGTAGAATATGTTAACCAAGATGATTAAAGACTTTTGTGTCACAGATTCTTTCTTCGTTAAATTAGCTATGTATTTTTTAGGAACTTACCTCCCCCCTCCCCCCTCCCCCAACTATTTTATTGTTCAAATACTATTCGTTAATATAATATTAATGTGATTTTTAAAGTTATGTACTTATTAAGACGGGGTACACACGCAACGCGCGTGCCATAAGACTAGTTCTAAAGTAAATGCATCAATGATTAAACGATAGAGAGTCATTATTTTTGTTTTAAATGATTTGGCTTTTTAGGACCAACAATATCGTGTATGAAAGAGAAGTTAGATTAGATCCTTTAATATACTAACATATTATTATCTCATACAATGTAATTTCTATAATTAACTTAATTGAATTATTTATTTTTGAAAGTTCAAAAAAATCTAATTACTACATTTATGTAACCACATTTATTTTTGTCGTTAAATGATTGTTATTTTAATGGCATTTGCTATTTTACATAATCAATTGTTCTTGTATACAAGTTTTAATTGAGTGGCTTTGTATACACGTACACTAAGACTAGTTACATTAATAAAACGAGGCAAGACCAATGGAAGTTGTACATTGTTCCAAAAGGACCCTCATAAAAAAGCAAGGTACAATACCTCTAAGCAGTAAATCTATTCTTTAGTCCCGCACTATATTTTTACCTCTGAAAAAGTAGAAAGGCACTGTACTAATATATATACGCTTTTCTTAAATCCATAATAAGACCTAGCCGCTTCTCATTTTCTTGTCTCTTAAACCCTGAAACTTTGTTTTCATCAGGTTTGTTCTGTTTTTCTTTGTTTTTTTTATTAGCATTTTTGTAATTTTACACCCTTATTATTTGTTTGTTCTAGAATTTATTGTTGTGTGATTAATAATGTGTATTATGTTATGGTTCTTGATTTTTTGTTAATATATGGGACCTTGTGAAGTCTTTGAGTTCTTATGGTTTTATGTTTAGTTTATATTGCAAAATTTTTACTTGGATAATGCCCTCTCCTGAAAGAGAGCCTTGGCGTAGTTGGTAAAGTTGAGTCCATGTGATCAAGAGGTCACATGGTTGAGCCGTACAATAGACCTTTGTTATCTGGTCCTTCCCGGACCCCGCGCATAACGGGAACTTAGTGCACCAGATTGTTTTTTTTATAATGCCTTGTCCTTGTGCTTAGTATCATATTATTGTTATTTGTGGTGTTCTTTTGTTGTATGTATGAGTGTATTTATTTGTCAAAGTTGTGTAACTGAGTAATTTTTATGAGACCCTTTAGATTTTTAGTGAAGAAAGTAGAGTTAGAGATGTTTGATGATTTTTTTTTTTTTTGAAAAAAGATTCTTGAAAGTGGTTTTTTTTTTTTAAATTTGCTTTAGAAAAGCACTGAGTATTGGCGAATGATTAGCTACTTAGCTTTGGCAGAGGTTGTTTTATCTATTAGCCAAAATGGTTGTGATGATTGTGACCTAAGTTATAATATTTGGCCAGAAATGTAATTTTTGTTTAATGTATCAGGTTAGGAGGTCTGATATTTAGTAACACTTCCTTGGGGACAAAGAGTGAAGGGGAAAAGGGGGGGGGGGTGCTAAAGAGCTTATAGATTTCACAGTTGGATGCAGGTTTTCATAAAATGTATTTGTTGATTTGTGGCGCATGTGTTTTTCCGAGTATGCAGCTAAATGAATGAAATTAGTCGTGTTCTTTCTATTAGGTTTACTTCTCGAATAAATAGTTGTTTATAGCGTAATTGTAGGACAGAAAGCCGATCCCAATAGCTGTGTTGGTACCTGTACGGTTCTGAATAACAACACATATTATTTACAAAAAAGGAATCGTGTTGTTCTTGCTATTGAGTTCCTGCTGCAAAATGTGTTTTGTGGCACTACCTTTGTTTAGCTTTTCAGCTTTGTCAATCTTCCTAGTGAGTTTGCTTGTCAAATGAAAGATTTTGATGTTTTAACAGATGAATTTGCTAACTTGTTTTTCATTTTCTTATAGATATATCTGACGTTATCTGCACAAATGGCATTCTGCAACAAACTTAGGGGTCTTTTGAGGCAGAGCATTTCCATAAGCGGCAATGCATTGAATGCACAAGCACCAGCTGTGTCAATGCTTAATGCCATGCGTTGCATGTCAACAAAGCTTTTCATTGGGGGTATGTGACTAGTAGTCTGAAAATTCATTTTTATTTTTTCAGTTTATAACTATCTGCAACTTGTAAATTTTGCTTATTTTTTCCTACACTTTATAGGTCTTTCATATGGAACTGATGATCAATCTCTGAAGGATGCATTTGCCAGCTTTGGTGATGTTGTCGATTGTGAGTTCCGAGCTATCTTGAGTCTGGCTGTTCTTTAATTTCAATCATTTTTATACAGTGAAAAGCAAGTTGGATGAAGAATTTGTTTGTCTTTTTCGTGAAGGGCACTATATCATCCTATTTTTATCTGATAATTTTCGTGAAGGATGCTGACATTTTCCTGTTTATGTGTTCCTCTTGCTAATTAGGCTATTGCTTATCCGTTGATTTTAATGTTTGGATGTTGGTCAGCTTTGTTCAATTTCAGTCTTTCATTTTTTTTCCTGTATCTTCAGATTGGTTACCCTATCCTTCTCTAGTGTTAGCCGCAGATGTTTCATTTCCCTCGTTTACAGTGTAGGGACTT